ACTTTTGTTTCATCATCTCAGTTATTAAAAATAAAGAAACAAGTGAAGCACAAAAACACAAAGTGCAAGAAGAAATGAAGAATTAAAAAATGAGAAATGTGATGATCCCACAAATATCATATTACGATTGTTTATATTGTATATTAAATGAAGGCAAAAAAATAAGTTGAGCAGCGGGGAAATTTTACATGATTCTACAATTTTCTTTATTCTCTCGTGTTCAGTTTCCTATTCCAACTCTATAAAACTCACGTGATAATAGTTTTGATTATTAAGTCTTAAGAAATGCATATCACTTTTTTTAGCCCGAAACCTATGATATTTATATTGACATTTCTTTTGATCTAGGATATTTCTTTTGACAGCGATTAGTAATTAGAATTGAATCAATTTGAAAATTACGAAATTCAGCACTGAAGAATCTAAATTTTCGTGACTCTCAATGTCCAATGATCGGGTTGAACAACTATTCAAAACACTATTAAATTTAAATATTTCACAACAGTAATACACATATATATTTTTTAACGATGACACATATCAGCACAAAAAGACAAATAACGTGTATCCTTTACGATCCAGAATTATCTCCAAATAGTTAGACAACTATGTAAGTAACACTGATACATTATATTTCAAACAACATGGAAACCGAAGTTTATTTTTAAATAACACGACAGAGAAAAGAGGAAATGCTTAATTTCTCCGTACGGTAATCATTTTTTTAAATATATATTTGCAATAGATTTGAACTACCATATCGGTTTGAATCGTTACATACTGAAGTACGTGGGCATCTGGCCGGAAGAGAGGAAGTGGAACCGATCTTCGAGTTACCACGTCCTGGTAGCGTCCCTCACGATGCTATGCTTCGTGTGTGCTCCACAAACCATCAATCTACCGCTCATCGCTCACGACATGAAGCTAGTGGTCGAGAATTTATCGATGGGCAACATGACCATCTCGATTGCGCTTGTGAAGACCATAGCTTTTTGGATGAACGGCAAATGTAAGAATTTCGCGTTTTAACCACGTAAACTATAGTCAATTGAACGCGAAACTTTTCATATTTGGTGTTTTATTGAAACAAAAGCAGAGAAAATAACATAGACTCAACTATATCGTGTTTTTCATATTTTATGTGTTGTTACCAAAAAGAGAGAGTGCAAGTCAGGTTGCAGAATATTCAAGATTTATACATTTTTCTTTAACAAAATTTGAAAATCCAACTTCTACATGTAATAGTGAATGGTTATACTAATTAATAAACTAAAACAATTGCAAATAGCTCGAAAAGTTTTCTTATTTCTTGCGAAGCACTCTATCC